CCTCTAGGTTATCCAGTTTGGTTCCATACAGTTATTCATAATATTCTTGTATGATACAGAATCATTATATTTAGAACTAAGTGAGCTCGTTAACATCACCCACCAGATCTTCAAACCTTTTTAAACTTGCAGAATCATTCTTTCACCTGGCAACCCCACAGAACAGCATGTATGGGTCTCCGATATGACAGTTGAATGTGGTGCTGCTCTGACCCAAGTGAGGATGTGGCCTCTCAGTTTGGCCTTTTTTCTTTACCAAGCAGTAAACTTGAGGCATCGTCTCAATTATTAAGTACTTGGCAGTCTTCTGGTTTGGAAAACCTCAAGCTATTCTGTCTCATTTTACGGGTGAGGAAACTTGAGATTCAGAGACTGTGACCAGCCAAAGGCCACACACATTGTTTCCTTGCTGAGAGCTGAAACATGCTATCGTAGAACGAGTACCCAGTCTGGGTGGGGTGGGGCTCATTTCTGCAAACATGTGCAGAAAGCCAGGATAGGGACAGTGGCTTCAATAGAAGCTAGAGAGTTGTACCTAAAAGGGTTTCAGGAACCTGGAGGTGAATACGGGGCCTTTGTATCCCTACAGTTAGTTACTCAGGCAAATATTTCCCCTCTTCCTACTTTGTCGTCCTTCGTTTACCAGGTCCACGAACTTGATTAACTTAGCTTAGTTTTTATCTTTCTTGTCCCTAAAACAGGGATCCTCCTGGCCTCTACCTCGGTGGAGATAATGAAGACTCAATAAGGTAATGCATGTAGAGTGGCTGAAAGTACCTGGCTCACAGGATGCACTCACTACGTTTTAGCGCTTCCTGTTACATCCCTCAGGCATCTCAGTGGTTATTAGCATCATGCCAGCGCCAGTTCATGCGTGACATCCTCGGCAGGGACTGGAGTGCCATCCTCCAGGATGTGTTTTATACATTAAACCAGGGACAGGTAAACTATGGTTTGCAGGCCAGATTCAGCCCACTGCCTGTTCCTTTTATAAATAAAACTTCATTGGAACATAGCTAGGCTCATTCAAGTTTGTACTGTCTGTGGCTGCTTCTGCATCATGATGGCAAAATCAGGGCGAAAGAGACCATTATGGCCCATAATGCCTAAAATATTCACTCTCTGGCCCTTTATGGAAAGTTTGCAGACCCCTGCATTAAACCAAGAGTGCCTGTTCCCAAGTTAGAATACACAGGTCCATGTGCCAAGTAAGGGTGGCCTCAATGTCATTCCCATTAACCCATTTGCAGAATTGTGCTTCCTGCCTCTGCAGATTTAGGTCCTGCTGAATGAGAGTTCCTGGATCCTCAAGAGTGGGTTACATTTTCATCTGGGAATACAGCAAACGGTCCACTGAACCTGAACCTGTGTCTGCCACTAGTCACTTCCAGATCCACACATGGTGGGACAGCAAGCAAGGAAAGCAGTTATTACATTGTCATCTCTGTTAGGAGAGGCAAGATTTGACAGCTGCATAATGGGGCAGGGAATTCACGGAAGTAGCTTGGTGTTTCCGTGCTTAGTGGTCATAGAAAACAGGCAGCCTGATAAAGGACCAGGGAACCAAGGGCTTTGTGCCCTCAGCACTGTAGGTGTGGATCATTGTGCCAGGCAAGCAACCTGGTACAGCTGGAGTTCTGGCCAAGAACAAGAACTCTAGAAAGGGTGGTAGAAGAGAGAGGTGAGAGGTATTATGGGCTTGTGAGCAGCAGCAGCGACGGGGACTAGCTAGTTCCACTGCCCTCCTGTATCTGGAGATTACAGCTGGCCTCCCTCTGAAAGTCCAGAGTGCACACAACGTGGGCATGAGCGGATCCGAGTGGTGCAGGGTGTGGACCAAGTAGATGCTGCTGGGCTCTGAGTCCTGGCTCCTCTGCACCTCTTCCGTTGTGGCTGTGGTGGACAGTTCCACAGGTGCTCAGATCATCTTGACAGCATCCATCTCTAGCCTGCACCACAAACCTCTTCACTTTTCTGCTGTAGGGCCTTCTCTAGAGCTGAAGGAATCGGCTCAGCCTGAGTGTAAGTGTAGCCTGAAAGTGCAGGGGGTGTTAACACCCCAAGAGCACCCCTCACCTAGTACGGATCCAGGCCAGGGGGAAAATGCCCCCAGGCTTATGTTCTTCAGGCTGGGAATCGTGGAGGCATTCCGCAGTGTTCTCGGGGGTGGAGCTGAGCTGCTGCCGCCAGGAGGCACCTGCGCTAACACCTGTCCCCTGGCATGTCCTCCTACCCTGGCTCACTCTTTCCTATGCCCGTTTCCTAGTATCACCTCCCAAGTAAACCAGCTGAACTCAAGCCCTTGACTTTTCTTTTAGAGGAACACAAGCTAAAACATATTCCCATTAAGGCCAGAAACAAGACAAGCGTGTCTGCTATTACTGCTGGTCTCTTAACACAGTGCTGTTCTTATTTACAAATAAGCTGGTTTTCCACATAGAAAACCCAAAGAATCAATGCAGAAACTGTTAGAGCTAGAAAAGGAGTTCAACAAGTGTGATATATGTAAGATTCACTTATAAAAATTAGTAATTTTCCTTTATCTCAGCCATAATGAACTAGAAGATATAATGGGAGATACTATTCATAGTAGCAATAAAACCATATTAAAGAATGACAAACTCTTTAGGAAATTTAATGAAACGCTGAAGGACATTAAGGCAGCTCTGAACAAATGAAAGAGTTATGTTTCTTGTGTTGTAGAGATGTCAGTTCTGCCCAGACCAATCAGTAAATTCAATGCAATTCCAATTAAATTTCAGCAGGACTTTTCCCCCTCCTCTGCCCCTCAACCCTCACACCTAGGAACCCATCAAACTTGTTCTAACATTTATATGGAGAAATAATGGTTCACAAAAATAGCCTAGTCGATTTTGGGAAAAAAAAAAAAGCCAAAGAGGAGATCATATACGAAGACCTTAGCATACAGGAAGACATACTACAAAGTCATAATAAAAACTGTTGTGTAGGAACACTCATGGATCAGTGTAAGAGGCCAAAAAGTTCAAAAATAGACACAAATATACATGAACCTGAAATATACCAGTGACACTAATAACTAGTAAGGAAAAATGACTTATTTAATAGACAGTGTTGACAAAACCAGCTTAATTATACGGAGAAAAATATCAATGGACCTTATGTAAAGTTACTCTTGTGATGTATTAAATGTGAAAGTAAAACTGTAAGTTTAATAAACAAAAGTTTGTGACCTTACAAAGGTCTCTTTTAAACATCCAAACACAATAAAGCCAAAAAAATTGATGGCCATTACTATATGAAAACTAAGGAAACATTGACAAAATTATCAGTTGGATGAGAGATATTAATAGAGTCCAAAATGGATAAGGGATTAATACTTAAGCCATACAAAGAACTTCTGCAAATCAACAAAAAAGACCTTGAGCTAGTGGAAAAATAGGCAATACGTTTTCCCCATTAGATCACAGTGTAATACTTAAAGATTTGAATAGGCAATTTACAAAAAGGGAAACTCAAATGTTGAACAGCTATATGAGATGATGTTCAACCTTATTAGGAATCAGAGAAATGCAAAATAAAATGAGACCTCACTTCAACTATCCCATTAGAAAGATTGGGAAGCTGGAAGGTACCAATGCTGATGAGTGTCAGGGTAAAACCAGTACTTTCCTGCATGTAGTGGAATTATAGACTGGTGAATTATAGACCGGTGCTGTTACTCAGGAGGGCAACCTGACAGTTCTGGGTAAAATTAAATATATACCTGGGACTCAGCACTCCAGCTCTTGTTGTATACCCACTGAGGAACTCATGAAAAGCCAACAAGGGAATTATGTAAAAGATTTTGAAATAGCAGAAATATTAGCGCCAACTATTTACTACAGGAATGTATGAGAGCAATGTGGTGGCTGTACTCTTGGAAATAATATGGAATCATCAGAGTAACTTACTAGAGGTACATACCACAAAAGAAGTCATGTGTTGACCGTTGTTTTTGAACATGAAGAGAAGATGCCTTTTTCAAAGTCTCAGCCTTTACTACTAGTCTCATGATACAAGACAAATGACCCAACTGCTTCTACTTAAGAAATAGATAACTCTTACATCTGCCATTATATCAAGTCTTTATTAAGAAGTAAAGTGCTCAGTATTACACATTAATGAAGTTCTCGATTGTTGAGAGACTTGCATATGTGACGATACTCTTTACAATATGAGTATAGAGAGGGAGATGACAGGGGAGGGACGAGGAGGGAATGCTCCATGACTACAGAAGAAAAGAAGTATGTAACACACAGGTAAAAAGAAAGAATTTGGCAAAATTTTACAGGTGAAATGAAAAACAGTATAATAAAATAAGTATCATCAAAAGACTTTCTAGTGACCATAACTGATATATGGCACTTGGTCAATACACATGGATACCACATAATGGCTGCACTTCAAATTGAAGTTTGTTTACATGTAACAACATGGTACACAGACATAAATATGTACACTCAATATCCCTGGAATGCAAACGTCAGTACCGAGTAATAAAGAACTCTGTAGCATATTCAAAAGAAAGTAAAGATGGAGATGAAGCCAGGGGAAGTAACGGTTACAGAAACCCATGCGTATCACTTCTGCAGAAGCCAGCTTGGAAGGGTTTGTTTGCTCATGTTTTCACTGAAGATTTGACTGACGTTCTAATCAATTACACGAACAACTGTGAGAGTTTAAACTACAGGATTAGAAACAGGCCTCTCTTCTCTTGTTCTCCAAGTGGAAGTTATTCACCCGCACTGCTTTCTCTCTTGCTTGTCCCATTAGCTCTCAAAAGGTCAGGTTACTCAACAGTTTTGAGAAATAAGATTTTTATTTTTTTGTTGAGAAATAAAATTATGTTCCCCATAAATTTGGTAAACCCCTCTCCTAACCAAAAAAAAAAAAAAACAAAAAAACAAAACAAAAAAAAAAAAAGGAAAAAAAACAAAACCAAAACTGATGCAAACTCAAACTTTGGTTGATACCTCCTGATAAAGGTTGAACTTTCAATACCCAAAACTCCTTTTCATTAAATGGAGCTCCATTTAGGTCATAATTTCTAGTTTTGAAATGCAGGCTCAAGAGTTTGAGTTCTGTATTCTTAAAACAGTCTAAAACTCAAATTTTAGTTTTATAATGTTTTATATGAATTTCAAAACTTCCTTAAAATTTTACTTAAAATGAACATATTTGCTGAGTTAAAACTTTCAGTGCATACTAAAAATTTTAGTAAGTTGGTCTTCCTAGATTAGTTACAACATTAAATTTAGTTGCAAATAAGTTGAGCCACCTGGGAAAAAGAATATATGGGTAAATCTTTATATTAAACTAATTATTAGAAAAAATCAAATTTAGTGATTTGGCGCCTTCCAATTCTCCTATGTTCTGGTCAGAGATGCCGCTTTGACCCATAATTGATCTTTGGTGGTTTCATAGAGCTTATGTCAAATGAGAGTGAAAATAGTGTAAAAATTAAGTGAAATGGTTAGACCCACAGGCATCAGATATGATAAAATAACAAAAAAGCATACTGTTTGTTCAACATTTATCGTAACCATTCATACAAATTCTAGCATAATGACTACATACCCATTCTATGGTTTGGGGTTCTTTTCCAGCTCATCTTTTAGAAAAGTGTACCCCAGGAAGGTAGTTGAAATAAAAGGCTCCTTTCTTAAAAGAAAGCTATGTATTAAGCCCACAAGCTCAGCCTGAGTGGAAAGGAGTGCCCCTATTTTCCCTTCTCACACTCGGCAAAAAGGACAATACTGATTTTTATGATTGGAAATAAAACTCAGAAGCCTTTTGACGGTTCTTTGCTAGCTTTAAAAGGCTACTTCATTGTCAGCTGAGGAGACAGTCACCGTAGAAGGGGGCATACCACTCAATATATTTTACAAAGTTTTTTGTTTCCTGTACTCAATATTTACATCTAGATTTCTTATATGAGAAAAAGAAAAGAAATCTTTGATCCATGGGCAAAGTTTTAGCTAAAATAAATTAAAGTGCAGAAGAATTAACGATTGGTCACAAAGACCAGCATCATACGGTGGCCAGGGCATATAAATAGTGTACTTGTTATGGCAATTCGGGACAGCCACCTTCTCGCCTACTAAGGACACACACACTAACACGTCCTACACATGCATATTGGAACTCCCGTTTCCACCTCCGCCTTCCATTCCTTCTGTAGACTGGGAGGAAGAAGGGCGGGAGCTTCTGGGACGAGGCTGACCATTGAGTCCCACGGGTGTGCCTAAACCATGACTTATTTGGGAAGCTGCGTCATCGGATTCCCAGCGCTCCAACTCTTCCCGCACTAGCCGTTCCATCTGCTCCCTGTGGATTTCACTGTCACGACCCAGTCTTTCATCCTAACAAAGGAAAAAGAAACCAAGATGTTGAGACAGTGATGGATACTCTTGCACTCAGAAATTGCCTTAGGAAATTTGGGGACCCAATAACTTTAATTAGGCAAGGCTGGAGATTTACAGCTCTTAATAGCAACTTCTCAGAATCACTGGAGTAATATATATATTTTACTTAATTCTATCAGTCATCCAGTGAAGGCAGGATCATTAGGATGAAGAGTATTAAGAAAGGAACACCTCCGGATTACCATATTATCTGCACTGATCTGCAGGTATGGAGGCAAAAAACCTCTCAGGTTAAGGGTTACAAACTATGACTACCCTGATGTTTTATACAATCGGGGTGTTTCTGCTTCAGACGACCACTGACCTCAGCCACTCCATCCAGCAGCCTTCCCAGCACCTCCCTTCTCTTCAGTTTGGCCCGCTCCATGATCTCCAGCTTCACTATCACAGCATCAATCTTGGACACGATGCTGCCGATGGAGTGCTCCATCCGGTCCACCCGTCTCACGAGGCTGCAGGAAACCACAGAGGAGGGGGCAAGGTCACCTTGTGTTGCTGGCTTTTCAGCCCAGCTGGGCTGTCAAATGGAAATACTAAGATTTTTTTTCTGAAACAATATTATAATCTAAAAACACTTTCTTAACAGTCTCAGACTATAGACATAAGCTCTCATACCCTGCTGATGGGAATGCTACCTGGCAAAACATTTTTGCAAGCCAACATTGTATCTTAAAGAGGTATGCCTATCCTTTCATTCAGCAGTTCCATTTCTTGAAAATTCCTGAAGGAAATAAGTATATGTGTAATTTTTGGCTCTAAGGATACTCACTAAGGTTCTGACCATTAATAGTGGGTCACTGAAAATGGTTACATCAAAAATTATAGAAGATTTTAAAATAATTATTGTTTATCTATACAATAAAATTCTAAGATACCAGAAGTTATATTGTGATAGAATGAAACAGAATGATGTTCACATTCTAATGATGAAATACAATGACAGTACTGATGAAGTAAATAAAGCAGTTAGAAAAGTTATGTTCACTTATGATCCCATTCTTTTGAATAAACAAAATGTTATATAAATACTTTAAAAACATTTAATAGGAGACAATGTCTGGAATGGTGGCATGAAGGCTCTGGAGGCCCTCCTCCCATTGAAACAACCATAATTTTTGAAAATTATTAATTTTTTTAAATTTCTGGAAGTTTTCTTCAGGGGTAAAGCCAATGAAGAATTTTATTTAACAAAATCCACTAAATTTCAGTAAGAAGAATGTGAGTGTGTGGTATCTGAGCTACCATCTGTTCCCTCTCTCCCACCCGCAGCTCAGGGTGACAGAGCTCCCCGAGGGTTGAATGCAGCGGAGAACACAGGGCTCCCTCTCCCAGCAGCTCTCAGGGGAGGGCGAGGCTAGCTCCACAGAGGGGCAGGCTGCCAGCATTTCTCATCCCTACGCCTCCCCCTCCAAATCCACGTTGCAGAGGCTCTAATCCAGGTAAGAGTGGCTGAGAGACATGACGCTCTCTTCTTCCACTCCATCTCCCTTGTAGGGTGGATTCTCCATGCCAGGAGAGGCATGCTGAGACACTAAAGGCTGCCATCCCAGCCCAGTGCCTTACTCGTGAAGCAGGGGCATCCCTGTAAGAGAGATGGGCCACTAGTGCTGGAGCAGTGGCCCAGAGGTTTTGCCCAGGGGGAGAGTCAGGACATAGGACAGAAAGCCTCAAAGCTTCCCCCAGGTGAACTAGCTTTATTTGGAACAAAGTGTGGGGAAATTCAAACCCAAGACTGTTCTCGAAAACAATGGAGACTAGGGTGATAAGCAGTTAAGAGGAGACTGGTGGCTCATGAGATCAACAAGTTAAACTGTTTGCCAGAGAGAACCAGGGACAGCAACAGCCAAGAAGACAACTAAAGACTGGCCTCAGAAACGACCCCCGCAAAGGGGCCTGAATTTCCCTGGGTCAGACTGTGGGGCAATTTAATTCAATCCTAACGCAGTACTGAAAACAACAGACCAATCAGCTAACAATTAGTGAAACTGAAGAGGTGGAGGCAATACCCACAGAGTCAGAAGGCTTAACGCAGAGATCAGGGAAAGACAATGAGAACCTTGCTGAAACCTCCGTCTTCCCAGGATGACTGTGTGTATGGTTAAGGCTGTGACCTCTGAGAAGTGACATCAGAGGCTTCACGATGTGGGGGAAATAAACTCACTGAAAAACAAACACACAGATGGACAACAAAAACAAGTTCTGGTGCGAAGGGGAATATATATATACATATATATATATATGTATATATATATGTATATATATATATGCACACACACACATATAGCTACAATAAATTATTTAACATCTCCAGGTTTTTTTAAAAAAATTATGAGACACACAAAGAAATAGGAAAATGTCACCCATATACAGGAAAAAAGCAGGCAACAGAAATCTCCTTTGAGAGGGCCCAGATAGATTTCATAAAGAGGTCAAAGTAGCTATTAGAAGTATATTTAAAGAAACAAGTCAAGTCATGCATAAAGATAAAGGACAGTATGATGACACTGCCTCATCAAATAGAGAATATGAATAAAGAGATATAGATTGTTTAAAAGAACCAGATAGAAATTCTGGAGTTGAAAAGAATAATAAATGTAATGAAAAATTCACCAGAGGGTCTCAAGAGTACATACGAAGCAGCAAAAGAAAGAATAAACAAACTTGAAGATGGACAGAAACTATGCGATCTGGAGAAGAGAGAAAAAAGAATGAAGAATAATGAACAGAGCCTAGGAGAAATGCGAGATACCACTGAGGGCCCCAACATACACATGATGGGAATCTCAGAAGGAAAGCAGAGAAAGGAGCAGGAAAATATTTGAAGACAGGATGATTGACAACTTCCTAAATGTGACAAACATGTTAGGCCATAAAAACATAAAAAAAACACATGTAATGCAGACACAAACACCAAAATGTTAACTGACATTTTTGTTTTGTGGGAATATGAGAAATTAAGGTTTTCTTTTGTTTTTCTTTATCTGCTAATTTTCCTATAATAAACATATTACTTTCATAAAGAGAAAAAACACCAGTAAAAGTTATATAAAAAAAAGAACTGATGATTAGTAATGGAAAAGACTGAATTGAGAGAAGTGGGAGAAACGACTTGGTCTCAGCTGGCCTTCTGTCAACTCAAATTCTGCCAGTCCCTTTATACTTACACTTGAAACTCTTCATAAGAAACCCCACTGGAGATGCTTCCCCTCCTTCTGGAGCTGTGCCCACTGTCTTCATCGTCATCCTCCTCAGAGTCATCCAGACTTCGGGGGAAACTCCGGCTGCTCATGGGACGTGGTAAGGAGCTGTGATCCAAGTCCAGGTCCTCCTGCGGAACATGGGATCACTGAGTGACGAGCAGGAACACTTAGACCCCAGTGATGCTTCACTGAGGGCTCAGGCAAATGGGAAACGGGTGCGTGCCATTTACCGAGGGTTTCTGTGAGGTCAACACCAGCCTGTGATTCTCACACTTTTCAATTTCATGGATTGGCAAGTTTTCAAAACAGATTTTTAATGACCAGCACTTAGTTTCTAACTTTTTTTTGGACAAGAAAGAGCATTGAAAACACATCAAAGCAAAGCAAACAGTAAGTGAAGAAATATATTATCATCTTTCCATAAAAGTTAACACAATTAACAGCTGCAAAGTAGGAATGATAATAATCCCTTATAAGATGTTTAATCAAAATTCTTGTAAGAGTGGAAGAATAAGAATTTTGATTAAACTCATTGTCTTCTTGTCCATATTTCACTATGACTGGTGGAATTTTTTTACCTTATTGGCACTGTTTTGTGGAGCAGCATTTAGAAACCACTGTTCTATACTACCTCCTCTTTGGAAACTGACTTTCGTGTATAACATTCATTTATATTCTCTGTACCTCAATTACCATGGACTGTTTTTTCGGTCTAACAATTTTTTTAAGTTAATGTTAAATTTTAAATTATTGGTTTATTTAACAATTTTTCTGTTTAACAATTTTTTTTAAGTTTAACAATTTTTTTAAGTTAATGTTAAATTTTAAATTATTTTTTCTGATTATAAAATTCCATTCCAGTTTACTTTGAATAGTTTCATACTAAGTATTCAAATGGAAGGCAGCTGTTAGTTTTATTTTATTATAAATGTTAATTCTAAGAGCAACTAAATAATTTTATATGTTCTAGGATATCTTTTCTTCCCCACTGTCACAGACACTGTTAAGTTTGTAACTACCCAGGTTTCTCCTCCAGCAAGTTACCAGAAAGCTTAGGGCCGAATTTGCTGCCCAGTCTTATTAAGAATATGTATTTTTGTGGAATGCAGTTTTTAGTTTCATTCACAGTGCAGCTTTATATTTCATTTTTGTTTTGCTCCATTCTTGATTGTTTTTGTACATTTATGCTAACATATTACATTTTAATATACTGCTGTGTTTTATATCCTTTTGGAGTAAGCAGGGTACTAATACGTAAATTGAGAGAGAGAGAGAGAAAGACTCAGAAGCCCACTACTTAGCGTGGCGTTTGAAACATCGTAGGTGCTGAATCCATCTTGTTCTCCTAAACTAGACCCACCCTCTCTTTTTCCAAGTCGTCTCTCATCTGCTGATGCTCATGCTCAGTCAGTTCTTGGTCTCCATCCTGGTCATACTTTGTGAATATTGCCTCAATTTCTGCATCAGTATGGCCCTTCCTGAAAGTATTGAGAGGTTACAGATGAACTCATTCATGCACACGGTCCAACCCCAACAAAGAGACAGACATCAACGTGCAGGAGGAAAGGAGAAACTGCTGAGTCAGGGCCCATCCTCTTACAGGACATTCCAGACAGACACCCACCTCTGAAAAAGAAGTGTCGCTGTCAGTACTTGGTTGATCACCAAAAACTTCTTTACGTACGGAATTTCCCAGGCCTGCAGAAAGTGTGATTCTTACCCTTTGAGATCTTGTCGAAGTTCATCAAAATTTAACTTGCCTCCTCCTTGCCGCAGACTCTCTGAAATGTCATCGACAGTATTTTTCTTCAGCTTTAGTTTGACCAAGGCTTTATGGTAGCCCTGTTGGAAAGAAAAGACTTGACTGAGTTTAGCCTCCTTTAGCACTTGCTTTACCTTCCAATGACAGTAGTAACTTCTGTAAACCCAGTGACCAGAACAGTGCCTGACACAGGGGGCCACTCAACAAGAATGAATGGATGACGAACACATCCCAAATTTTCCATGAATCTCTTGTGGGAGAGTTATACTGGAAGTCAGGGTCTTTCAGTAAATCAAGAACTAGGGGCCTTTTGGTTATAACTGTATTCAAGTTGATGTGACAGGAATGCAGATCACCACATGTTTCACAGCTGTCTCCTCTGAATATGTAGGAATGTGCAAAACTTCTTAAGAAAACTGAGAAACCTGAGTCACAGATTCATTATTTTCTATACTACCTCATAGTCAGCAATTTTCTTACATGTGTGAAAAAGTTTCAGTGACGCAGAGATGAATATTTCTCACTAATACACTGCAGGCACAGCTCACTATGCACAGCAGTGCAGGGCTGTGCAAATTCGAACTGTGTGGAGAGATGTTAATAATCAATCAGAAAGATTTCGATTGTTCTGTGACCTTTAAAACTGTTTATCAAAACACCGAAAACTCCCTTGGTGTTGGTTATAAATTTATAGGGAAATTTTTAAAAGAGTAAAATGAATGTTCATGTAGTCCCCTGAAATTTTAAACAGTAGAAACATTGAAGATTAAGTTTTATTTCTTCATAAAAAACGTATCCAGAGACGTTTGAACAGTGCTTGTCTTCTTGTGTGACTGATGATGCGGAGTGTGTATCTTTTCTCTGTCGTGCTGAGTTACCATCTTTTCTTAATATGGATCAGCTTCAAACACTTTATCCTTTGCCCTTTTAAAGTGGGGAAATATCTCCAAGAGTTCCTTTAGTGTGAAGTTTGTGGCCAGTGCCATCTCCTCTGAGACATCTTGATCCTATTTGTCACAGTCACTTTGCTCATTTATGCTGATCAATCTGCCTCCACTGAGTCCCTCTGATTGCTCTCTATCTAGCTCTCTAATGGTGGCAATGTCAATATTCCCACGGCCAGCTACATATTTCTTCTATAAATCCATTGCGTCTGTTTTGAATCTCACTTCTACCATCATCATCATCATCATTATTATTTGTGGAGGTACTGGGGATTGAACCCAGGACCCTGTGCATGCTAAGCACGCACTCTACCACTGAGCTAGACCCTCCCCCTCATTCTTTGTTTTTTTTTTTTTTTGCTACACTTTCTTTTCTTCTTCGCTGGCTGGGCCTCTCTCTCTTTCGATTATGC